TTTCTCCTCATTAGAAGGGAAGAGAATGTAAGCTTGGTGGGGAAGAGCTTTGGGCTGTTTCATTCACTGCTCTTTGCACAGCATCCAGGGCAGAGCCTGGTGCACAGTGGGGTCTCAGTGAGTGCCTGCTGCATAAAGAGGAGACCCGGCCACTCTGAGGGGGAAGCCTTCTCTGGAGGCAGAAGGCATAGTCCAGACCTGTGCCTGGGCAAGTAACTCAAATAGTCAGTTCCCTCATCTGTGAAACTAAAGGGCTGGGTCAACTTTGGAAAGACAAGAGCTGTAGAGCCACAGACTGGAGATGCCTTCTTTTCCATCATTTACAAGCCATGGAGCCTCGAATGACTACCATGACATCTCCAAGCCTCAATTCACGTGATCCGGAGAAGGGGTGACATCAGATCATGAAAATGAGCAGCCACCACCACACCTGATTATTGCTCTAAGAATGGATAATGTAATTATTGGCTTATTGTCACACACCAGGGGACGAAGGAGGCCCGCACTGTACTCACCACGCACAGACAGCTCAGTGCCTGCTCCAGACTTCAACTCCACATCGGGGTTCCCTTTCCGGAACTTCACACAGTAGTAGGTGCCGGCATCTGCTGGGGTGATGTTACTGATGCGGATGGAAAAGTCCATGTTGTTTCTCTTTGTGGGGTCTGAAACAATTGTTACCCGGGAAAAGTGGCCTTCCTTCTGATAGTAGATTAATTCCCGGCCTGGTCCAGCTCCTCTGAACCACTGGATGGGACCCACAGGGATCAGGGAGGTCACAGTGCAGCTCAGAGTGGCCGACTCTCCAGCTGCAACTGATACGGACTTCTCAGGCTGAATCACCTGCAGCTCCTCCTCACACAACCTTCCTGGGGAGGAGCACAAAGCAGTCATTTTTTCATCCTTATGTGATCCTGTGTGTTTCCCCAAGTGTTTATCAATGACTTTCATTGACTGGGTGTATACTAAGAGCAGGTCTTGAGCTCAGCCCACTACATGCATTATCTCATTTAAGCCTCACAACTGGCCTGTAACATAAGACTGTAATACAAGCGAGGACACTGAGGCACAGAGAGGTTCACTTTCCTTTTCCTTATTTTCTTTTCCTCTTTCCGTTTGCTTTCTTTTCTTTTCTTTTCTTTTCTTTTTGAGACAGGGTCTTGCTGTGTCTGCTGCCCAGGCTGGGGTACAGTGGCTCAATCACAGCTCACTGTAGCCTCAACTACCCGGGCTCAAGTGATCCTTTCACCTTGGCCTCCCATGTAGCTGGGACCACAGGTGCGTTCCATCATACCTGGCCAATTATTGCATTTTTTGTAGAGACACAGTTTCATCATGTTGCCCAGACTGGTCTCTAACTCTTGGGCTCAAGCAATCCATCTGCCTTGGCCTTCCAAACTGTTGAGATTATAGGCGTGAACCACTGCGCCTGGCCAAGAGGTTCAATTTCAATGTAGAGCTTTGGGTTGAGGACCTGAGTAGAACTATTGAGCCCTCCTTGAAAGTGCCATGTTTTGCCAAATATGGCCTCCAACTGTGGCTACATGGAGTGTGGCACTTTTTGTATCGCTGGATTGGGTGGGGCCCTGTGTCTTCTTTAGACCCTTGAGTTTTGAGCAGAAGTAATGGGTATAATTTGTGGGTTGTGCATTCAACTGCAAGAGCCTCTATGGATCAATTTCTCCCTTCCAGAGACCCACAGGGCTCTGACGGGGCCTGCTCCATTGCCTGGATGCGTGAATGACCCTTGCATGCAGAACTGCCAATACACACTGAATATGTAGCTTTCAGTAGAAATACAACATTGTTTTAAGCCCCTGGTAATTTTTCATCCATAGCATAATCACATTACCTGAGTTTCCTAATGCTGATGTGACAAATTACCAACACTTAGTGTCTTAAAAAAATGTTACATTTTATGGTTCTGGAGGTTAGAAGTCCAAAATAGTGTTACTGGGGTACAACCAAGAAGAAATGATAAAAGTCAAATACATAAAGATAGAGAATGAAACAGTGGTGACTAGGGGTGAACTTGGGGGAGGTGATGGGTAAGTCAAAAGATACAAAATTGCAGTAAGTCTGACAAAGAAGTCCAGAGAATAAATTTGCAATCTGTGGGTTTTAGTTAATAAAGTTGTATTGAATTCAGTATTTTTGCTTCAAAAGCACATTTTAGGTGCTGTTGACATAAAACACATGCAGCATAACTATGGGAGATGATGGATGTGTCCATTTGCTTAACTTTAATAATCATTTCACTACGTATATGTATACGTATATGAAGGCATCATGTCTTACACCTTCCATTTCGACAATTTTTAAAGAGCTTTCAGCAGAGCTGTGTGTCTTCTGGAGGCCTTTCCAAATTCTAGAGTTTTCTCATATTCCTTTCTCACAGTTACATATTCCCACCACTCTAACCTCTTGCTTGCAACTTCACATGCAAACATCCTGGAATATAAGGATGTTTCAATGTCCTTCTCCAAGAATTAATCTCCTTCCTCCTTCTTATAAGCACCCTTGTGATGTATTAGCTCCACCCTGATACTAAACCCAGATGTTAAAATCACTGTCTTAAAAATGCTGAGAGGTAAAGGAAATAATTGATGAAGAACTAAAGGAATATAAATGTCTTAACAAAATGAGAATGTAAAGAAAGAGAAATTATATGAAGAAATGAAACAAACTTAGGAATTGAAAGTACAATAACTAAAAGTCCACTAGAGGAGTTCCCTAATGGGTATAAGCAGGTGGAAGAATAATCAGAAAACTGGAGGACGGAATAATTGAAATTATTGAGACTGAGATATGGGTAGAAAATAGAATAAAGTCTAGAGCACAGAATCTAAGGGAATTGTGAGACATTATCAAATGTATCAACATACACCTTACTAGAGTTCCAGGGAGAAAAAAGAGAAAGAGAGAAAGGAATAGAAGATTACTTGAAGACACAGTGGACAAAAATCTTCACAAACTTGATAAAATACAGGAATCTACGAATTTAAGACACAGAAAAAACAGAAGTTGAACTAAAAAATAAACTCAGAGACCCACACTAAGACACATTATAACCCACCTGTTGAAAACTAAAGTCAAAGAGAGAATCCTTAAAGCAGCAGGACAGAAGCGATTCCTTGCATACAAGAGACCCTCAATAAGATATTCAGCTGAGCTCTTATACAAAGCACTGAAGTCCAGAAGATAGAGGGATGGTAAGTTCAAAATGTCAAAAGAGGAAAAACATATCAATCATGAATTCTATACCCAGCAAAGTGTCCTTCAAATACAAGGGACAAATTAAGATATTCTCAGATAAACAAAAGCTAACAGAGTTCATGACCACTAAACCTTACCTACAGGAAATACTAAAGGGAATGCTTCAGGTGGAAATGAAAGAATGCTGCACGGTAACTCAAAGTTGTATGAAGAAATAAAGATGTCCAGTTATGTGTACATTTTTAAAGAATCATGCTTCAATATCCCACAAACAAGCTGCGAGCACCCTGCCCAGGTGACCAGGTAACCAGTATTTTAAAGCTGGTCCCTGCCACAATTCCTCCTTTTGTCCTCCCCTACTGTGACCTAGTGACATTGAAACACTCTAGTAAAACCTATCATGGTTTTTGCTTGTGTCCCTCACCTTGACTCCCAGTAAAGGCACTTGCCCAGGAATCCCATCTCTCTTGCCTATCCATCTGCTTGATTGAGCCTACTCCTTGGGAGCTCCTCGCACATGGCTTCCTTCATGGCCTGCCCTTCTGCCTTCTCTAGGAACTGTGAATATGCCTCTTCATATGAACTTTTCATGGCCATGCTAGAGTGATCCTCCAAGATTCAACCAACAGGAGTCACTCTAACATTTTCAATAGTAATGGCAATGAGGATGGGATCATTCTAAACTCAAGTGGAAAGTTCGTAGGAAATGCCTTTGACTCCTCAAAACTTACAGAATTGCTACTCTGATTGGCTCCACAATTTGAGAAGGCTTTTTACCCTGATGACTTTCTTGTACTATGCTATGTACAGCTTTGTGTTGCCTTTTGGAGTGCTGCCATGGCTCTCCATCCTGAAGCAAGGATCCTGTTCCAATATCAATAATGACATCCACCTTTCTTCAGGAGCACAAGTAGATATAACATTGGTAACACCTCTTCAAAGAAGATTCATGTGATATGCATATTAATGTCACATAATCCAGCATCTGTAAGTTTTTTTTGGGATGCCCGTGGCAACATATTTACAAATTTTACTTACAAATTAAAATCAACGGGTACTCCTGTTAGTGTCTTTAAATGAATGAACAAACAAAAATATCTCTTCTCTGTGGAGTCTTCGGCGATGTCTTTCATGCCTCTTGGAGTCGCTAGACCACTCATGACGGCTATATATTTCCTCAGGGCCTTGATGCAAAAATAATGTTCTTTGTGGCCTATGCTATACTCCATTAAAACAACTGACTGGTTACCTACTAGAATCTCCTGACTTGGAGTCCAGATTTAAGGATAATATTCTCCTGTTGCAAATCATTAACCATAAATTGTCCCACAGGCCAGGCTCTGCTCATCTGAAATGACACCCATTGAAATTTAAACTTCCACTACAACACAAAATTAAAATCACTGCCAGGTACAGCTGCACACCTTTTCTGTTGACAGTTGACATTATTACTACTTGGTTTGTTGATGCAACAATCCTCAACCAAATACTAGCAAACTGAATTGAGCATCATATTAGAAGAATTATACAATACAAGCAAGTGATATTTATTTCTGGAATACAAGGATGTTTCCATGCGCAAATGACCAACAATGTAATATATCATATTTATAGAAGAAAGAGAAGAAACGCATGATTAACTCATTTGATACTGAAGACCATTTGACAAATTTGGAGATCTTTTTATGACAAAAACCATCCATAAAATGAATATATGAAACTTCTATAAAATAATAAAAGTCATATACACACACTTTATTTTCACTTATCGCTGTCTAATATACTATTTTATTTGCCTATTTATCATGTATATTGATTACTGTCATTCTCCCCAGTGGAGACAAGCAACAAAAGGGCACATACTTTTTCTTTTTCATTCAACAATGTTCTTTATTAGGTCCTGGCACATAGTAGGTATTCGTTAAATATGTGTATAATGTGCGAATTGCTCAGTGGAACATTTTCCCAGGAGACTAAATATTATATTTTAAGTGAATTGCTTTTATGAAATTTGCCAGAAAATGTGTTTCCCATGTGGGTGAATTGGTGAAAAAATATTGGGTTGTATACACACAGAAATCAGAAGAGTCAAGGAGAAGAAAACCACAAACCGTTTTCACACCACATCACCTTCTCGCCCTCATGAGCAGCACCTGCAGAAATTTCATGGAATAAGATCAAGACCAAAAGTGTTTGAGAAGAGCAGTGGTGAAACCTGTGATCTCTAGGGTCAAAGTGCCTGAGTTCAAATAGTAGCTCTACCAGTTACCAATGAGTAACCTAGGAGCACTTTGTGCTTCTGTTTCCTTATTTGTGTTGGAGGGTGAACTTGGAACTTGGATATAATGGTTACCTGAGGTCAGAAATGTAAGCGACTTCCCACAGTATCTGGCTCATGGTGGGTATTCAAAAATTGTACAGTTATTACTTGGTAGATTTCCTGAGGCTTGGAGGCTTCAATGGACATTAGGTGATGATATGGATATGGACATGGATATGAATATAATGATAGATATAGATAATATAGGCATGATTCTCTGTTACTTTTATCCCCTTCTTTCTTCTTCACCCCTACTATTAATGGAAGAGTGAACTCCAAGAGAGGAATGCACAAAAGTTCTGTTTTGAGGGAAAGTGTATTTTACTAAGAGGTCTGCTTACCTGTTGCTTAGCTTAACAGAATGGGGGATTTTCAGGGGTAAGGTGACTGAGGTAGAAAGGAGGGAGAATGACTGGGCAACAGAGAAAATCAAACATCTCTTTAATGTGCTTTCCTGTAGACTAAAAAATAAGTTGAAGATTACAGTAAGGGAAGTCTTACTACTACTACTACTACTACTACTACTACTACTACTACTACTACTGCTCTATGTTTCCACATGATCAAGTTAGATTTATCCCAGGAATTCAAGGATGGTACAACATTCATAAATCTCTAAATGTGATACACTATTTCAACAGAACAAGGGACAAAAACCATATGAGCATACAACACAGACAAAGAAAGCATTTGACAATATTTAACATTTTTTAATGATAAAAACTCTCAAGAAATTAGATATCAAATAAATGTTCCTCAACACAATAAAGGCCATACAGGACATATCCATAGCAAACATCATACCCAATGGTGAAAAGTTGTCAGCTTTTACTCTAAGATCAGGAACAAGACAGAGATGTCCACTCTCAAGATCTCTATTCAACATATAGTATCAGAAGTTCTATCCAGAATAATTGCACAAAAGAAGTAAATAAAAGTCATTCAAATCAAAACGGAAGAAGATAAATTATCCCTGTTTGCATATGGCACTGTCTTACATAGAGAAAACCCTAAAATCTCTAAAAACTTTTAGAATCAACAAACAAATAGGCCACAGATATAAGATATGAAATCAATGAGTAAAAATCAGTAGTTTCATACACTTACAGCAAATTATTGAGAAAAGAAATCAGTAAAACAATTTTATTTACAATTGCTACCAAAAAGGATAAGATAGCTAGGAATGAACTTAATCAAGGAACTGAAATACCTGCACACTGAATAACTATAAAACCCAGATTAAAAAAATAGAAAACAAATAACAGAAAGATACCCATGTTTGTGGATTGGAGAATTACTATTGTAAAATGTTCATACTACCCAAAGAGATCCACAGATTCAATTCAATACCAGTAAAATTTCAATGAAATTCCACAGAAATGGACCAAACAATCCTTAAGTTCATATTAGCCATAGAAAACCATGAATAGCTAAGGCAAGTTTTAGCAAAAAGAACAAAGCTAAAGGCATCACACAGCTTGATTTCAAAATCTTCTAGAGTGCCATAGTAATCAAAACAGCAGGGCGTTGGCACAAAAAGAGACACATAGACCAATGGATCAGACCAGAGAGCCCAGCAATAAATTCACACATTTGCACTCAATTGACTTTTGACAAAAAGGTCAAGAAGACACAATGGGGAAAGGTCAGTCTCTTAAAAAAGGGGTGTTGGGAAACCTGAATATCCAGGTATAGAGAAATGAAATTAGACCTCCGTCTCATGCCACATACAAAAATCAACTCAAAATGTATTAAAGACTTCAATGTAAGATCTGAAACTGTAAAAGTACTAGAAGAAAAGTTCCATGATGTTGGTCTGGGCAATGAATTTTTGGATACGACCCCCAAAACACAGGCAACAAAAGCAGAAATAAATACATGACACTACAACAAACTAAAAAGTTTCTGCACAGCCAAGGAAACAATCAACAGAGTAAAGAGACAACCTACAAAATGGGAGAAGATATTTTCAAACCATACATGTGACGAAGAGTTAATATGCAAAATATGTAAGGAAGTCAAACAACTCAATCAGAAGAAAACAACCGAAGTAAAATATGAGCCAAATAGTCATTTCTCAAAAGAATACATTAAAATGGCCAGTCAACATATAAATAATATCCAACCTCACCATTCTTAAGATAAATGCAAATTAAAACCACAGTGATCTATCATCTCACACTTGTTAGAATGATTATTATTTAAAAGATGATAACTAGTGTTGGAGGGTATGTGGAGAACAGGAAACCCTTACACACAGTTGGCGGGAATGAAAATTAGGCCATCCATTAGTGAAAACAGTATGGAGTGTCCTCAAAAATTTAAAAATAGAATTACCATATGATCCAGCAATCTCACTACTGAGCGTATATCCAAGGGAAATGACGTCCGCATGTCACAGAGATATCTGCACTCCCATGTCCATTGCAGCATTATTTACAATAGCCAAGATGTGGAATCAACCTAGGCGTGTATCAACAGATAAATGGATAAAGAAAATGTGGTCTACATACATACACAGTGGAATTCTAATCAGTTGTACAAAAGAAGGAAATCCTGTCATTTACAACAATATGAATGAACCGGGACGGTATTATGCTAAGTGAAACAAGCCAGGCACAGAAAGACAAACACCGCATGATCTCTCTCATATATGGAATCTAAAAAAGTTGAACTCAAAGAACTAGAGTAGAATGGTGGTTACCAGGGCTAGACAAGGGGTGCAGTTGGGTAAGTATTAGTCAAAGGACACACAATTTTTTTTCAGATAGGAGAAATTAGCTCCAGATATCTACTGTACAATATGGAGTCTATAGTTAATAAGACGATTTATAGCCTTCAAAATTGCTAAGTGCATAAATTTTAGGAGTTCTCACCATAAAAATTGTCAGTGTGTAAGATTATGCATATGTTAATTAGCTGTAGTCATCCAGAAATGTACACATGTCATAATATGTTGTACATGAGAAGTGTACTTTTCTCAAATCAAAATAAAAAACATTTTCTTAAGCTTTAATTGAAATTAAAGTTGGGGAAACTGATAAAAAATGAAATCTCATGTGTGTGTGTACACATTTACAATCACTTATAGGTATACATGCAGGGATCTCTAACCCCCAGGCTGTGGTTGGGTACAGGTCCGTGGCCTGTTATGAACTGGGCTGCACAGCAGGAGGTGAGCAGCCACTATGTGAGCATTATTGCCTGAGCTCTGCCTCCTGTCACATCAGCAGCAGCATTAGGTTCTCATAGGAGTGTCAACCCGATTGTGAACTGTGCATGTGAAGGATCTAGGTTGTGTGCTCCTTATCAGAATCTAACTAATCCCTGATGATCTGAGGTGGGACAGTCTCATCCCAAAACCGTCCACCCCACCCACCCACTCTACGTCCTTGCAAAAATTATCCTCCATGAAACCAGTCCCAGGTGCCAAAAAGATTGGGGACCACTGCACACGTGTGTGTGTGTGTTGGTATCTGTTATGGGCAGAATGTGTCCCCTAAAATGTATGTGTTGAAGCTCCAACCCTAGCACCTCAGAATGTGACTGTATTTGGAAACAGAGTTTTTAAGAAGCAATTCAGTTAAATGAAGTCATTGGGGTGGGCCTTAATCCAATATGAGTGACGGTCTCATAAGAAGAGGAGATGAGGACACAGACACATATACAGAGGGAAGACCATGGGTTGAGACACAGGGAGGAGATGTCTTCTACAAGCCAAGGAGAAAGACCTCAGTAGAAACTAATCCTGCCGACACTTTGATCTTGGACTTTGGCCTCCATAACTGCAAGGAAGTAAATGTCTGGTTTCAGCCACCCAGTCTGTGGTTCTTTACTACGGAAGCCCTAGGAAAGGAATATAGGCCCCAATAAGCAGCAAATGCAGAACTTCTTAAAGAGGAAGAGGCGACCGAAAAATGGGTGGTAAGACTCAAGTCACAGGGGAGGAAGGATCACGGGGGAGCACAGGACAATGTAAGGAGCACCCTTAGGGAGGACGGTGGCTGAACATCCCTGGGAAACACTGCACCTCTGCCCAACTCAAGAAGGCACCATTTCAGACTTCACTTCCTCTGGGTGTTGAATACAGAAGGCTGGGTCTGGAGTCACACAGTCCTCTCAGGCTGTCTCTGAGCTTGCTCTGTCCTTGGGTAGGTTGTTTGGCCCCAGAGTCTCAAGACTGGTAAGGATATAAATAATGATTGTTCTGTGTTAGTCAAATGAAATTGATCAAAATGTAAGTAATTGTGGTGGTGGTGATTCAATCATCCTGTGACTCTGGTAGCCAACTGCCCCTGGTAGCCAATCGCTGATCCACAGAGAAAGTGCTCAGCTCCCTGATTTCCTGCTCTGAGGCCCCATCTTTGGCCTTCCTTGGCAGCACTTGTGGTTGTCTGGAATCCCCAAAGGTCCAGGGGCAGGGCATTGCCACGGCAGCAGAGAGAAAGGGTTCTAGGCCAAGGCAATGCTTACCTGTGAGTCCTAGCAGTAGAGTCAGCAGCAGGAAAGGACCAGGAGGGTGGGGCCAGGAGGCTGTGACAGGCATCCTGGAGACCTCAGGAGCCTGCTCTGTTCAAACGTCTGTGGTGGGGAGATGTCAGGCTCTGCTCTGAGGAGAGAAGACAAGCCCCGCCTCCCTCGATTCAAGAGGAAGTGGCTATGATGGATTGGGACAGTAACTTGCTTTTAGATTGTAACATAGAAATCAGGCACAGCAAGCAGCTACAAAGCACAGAGTTACTCGTACTCCATTTTCAGGAGAATCAGACAGGCTGAGCAAAAATAATGCTTCCTCTTCAACTGAGGCCTGTGTTCTCTCCACATGGCCGCCTTCCCCATCTTCAGGTCTTCTTGGTGATTTGCCAGCTGAGGGTCTTGGGTCAAGAAGTTCTGTGGTTGTGATCTGTACCCTAACCTCTCCATCTTAAGACCCTAGGATGTGGTTGGCTTGTTGCTTCATTCTGCACCAGCCTCAACCAAGTGCTATTCAGCAGGGGGCAGCAGGAGGGATCACAAGGACCCTCTTGATGTTGGAGAGGAAACAGGTCTGCTTTTGAAATGATTCTTTATTGTAACCTTTTTTTTTTTTTTTTTTAGACGGAGTCTTGCTCTGTCGCCCAGGCTGGAGTGCAGTGGCCCGATCTCCGCTCACTACAAGCTCCGCTTTCCAGGTTGACACCATTCTCCTGCCTCAGCCTCCGGAGTAGCTGGGACTACAGGCACCCGCCACCACGCCTGGCTAATTTTTTGTATTTTTAGTAGAGATGGGGTTTCACTGTATTAGACAGGATGGTCTCGATCTCCTGACCTCGTGATCCACCTGCCTCAGCCTCCCAAATGCTGGGATTACAGGTCTGAGCCACCGCGCCCGGCTATTCTAAGCTTTTACTGATATAACTGGCGAAACGTAGCCCAAATTCAGTCTAATCTGGACTTTGGCACTTTCATGGGCTTGAATCCAGTAGAAATCATTTCCCGACTTCTTCCAGGAGAGCCAGTAGTTTTAGTTTAGTAAGGATCTGTTTTGTGGGGTGAAGTGAGGGTTGTGGGTTATGGAAAAAGGATAGGGTTATGATTGGGGGAGAATATGGGGGACAGGTTCCTGAGGCCATCACATCAACTTTAATATCCTTTGTTCTGCACAGAGGACCTACAGGATTCACCACTGTGTTCAGATGGGAAATGGGGAGAGAGGAAGTATAATTGCCCTGACCAAGAGGGCGTACTAAGGAGTTGGGGAAGTCATTGCACCCACCTACACTCAGTTTTGGTCTCTAAACTCGGCGTTATAAGTATTTCATTGCAGTGTTTTAGTGGCGATTAAAGGAGAAAATGACTGTACCATGCCTGAAACCCAGTAGGTTATTATTGATGCTAATGGTGCCAGGTGAAGAGCGGGAACTCAAATGGTGCTTTTGAATGGATCCCTACTGCATGATGAGTTGCCCACCAGTGGCTTTCTCCCAGCAACCCAGGCCTCCTGAGACCCAGATTATATGATGTACTTGGACTATCCCTGCCACTCTGAGATCAATTGCTTTCTCTTGGATTCTCTGCATCCTGCTCCTTATAATCCACAAATTAATTTGTCCTCTCACTATTCTCAGCTGTGTGACTTTCAAGAAGACATTGACTTCTCTGAGCCTTATTTTGATTGTATGTAAATGGAAGTTATAACATGCACCTACATGCACCTTGTAGAAATGTGGTAGAAATAATATAAACCATGAGTGCTTGACTCATAATTAATTTTAACCAAAAAATATGGCTAAAATTTTTTTTTATGGGAAGGGTTCACTGCTTTCCTGCCACAGTTGTGCTTTAGAAAAACCACCTTGTTAGGAGAAATGGTTGTATCATCTATGACTAAGAAAGGCCTGTCTGGAAGCCTCCCTGTCACCTGCTGGGTTTTAGGTCCTTCAACTGTTATTGTCAAATGAAAGTGTAAAAGTTATCATATTCTCATTCAAAGTTCTGTTCAATGTGGCACATGTGCACAGGTGAAATCTTCCCGTCCTACTCTATACCAACAAAAATGAAAATGAAAAAGGATAAAATTATGTTAATCTATGTCAAATTACACTTAAAAACTTAAGACAATCGTCTTTATGTGACGTGAAGGAATAGTAGCAGTTATCATTTACTAAGGATGTCCTGTGCCCCAGAAATGGTGTCAAGCATTTTATGTCAGTTGCCTCATTAATTCATCACTCTGACTCCATCTGGTAAGCACTGCTATTAACCTACCTCCTTTTACAGGTGAGGAAACCTGAGGTACACAGAGAGTAACGGATTTCCTCAAGATCACTCAGCTTTTAGAACTAGAGCATAGGGTGCCACATGCCACAGACTTCACTTTTAATGTTTGTACTATGACATCTGTCATATGAAAGGAGAGACATCCCTCAGGAAGAAGCAGAGAAGAAGCCATAGCCTCAATTAGGAACAGCCCCCATAGTGAGGCTGTGGCAGGTGCCATGCTCCAGGAGGCCCTGATAACCCCATCACATGGGGTGGGGCATTATTTCTGGAAAGACGGCAGCGCAAGAAGGAATCACTGAAGATTTGGGGAACAGCAGCACCATGAGAGATAGCTAACCCATCCAAGAACAACAATAACTGAAAAACATTAACAGCAATCAAGTGAACTTCACAACTGAGAACATATGAAAAAATAAAATATAAAAAGGTCTTTAAAATTAGTATACATAGTAACCTTATAAAGATAGCAAAAGGGAAGTAAATCCATAAAACAACATCAGGCATGTATGAAACAGGAATAATCAGGCATGAAGTAACAGGTTTCTTGGAGCAATAACCAAAAAAGAGACTTTGGAAATGAAAACATAATTACTGAGGACAGTTTTAAAAAATGTAATAGGTTGACTAGGTGACAATATATACGTAAGTAGTAAGTTATTGGGTTGGGGGATCATGTGGGGCAATCCCTTAGGATTCAGCACAGACACACCTAAAGAGAGTAATGTAAATAGGTGTAAATATAGGAATAACAAAAGATATCTCACAAAACGTGTCAAAAAAGTTCCCAGAAACAACTGAGGAGTTGAGCGCTTGCAGAGAGGGTGGCGGTGCCCGGGGCTGGCTCTGAAGGCACAGTGATGATTGTACTGAAGATATTTCACTGTTTGATTTAGAAGGGTAGACAACTAATAGACCAAGGAAATCTAAACTCAGACATCCAGTGGCATCACTCTTTCTTTAATTATTTTGAGTCAGTGCAATCGCCGTCTATTTTCTCCATGAAGTGCCCAGAAGTAGCTTTCTTGCCTGTGTGGTGACAATGATCTCTTTGTCAGGTGGCTTTTGCACAGTGAAGAATGTCACCGGCAGAGTAATGATTGGACTATGTTGGTGGAATCACATTGATGACAATGGAAAGGGCCATTGGGCATTTGAGTCGTGGGAGGCATCCTCTTAAGAGAGTAAAACTGTCTTAGAGGCTGAAATAAGAATCTTCTGGTTGGTACTAATGGCCTGTCCATGCTGTGAGTGATATTTGCCTTTAGTGTGTGATTTGATTTGGCTCTGTGTCCCCACCCAAATCTCATTTCAAATTACAATCCCCACATGTCAAGGGAATGACCTGGTGGGAGGTGATTGAATCATGTGGGTGTTTCCCCCGTGCTGTTCTCATGACAGTGAGTTATCACAAGATCTGATGGTTTAAAAGTGTTCGGCAGTTCCCCCCTTACTCTTTCTCTCTTCTGCTGCCATGTAAGACATTCCTTGTTTCCCCTTCACCTTCCGCCATGATTGTAAGTTTCCTTAGGCCTCCCAAGCCATGCAGAACTGTGAGTCCATTACACATCTTTTATTTATAAATTACCCAGTCTCTGATAGTTTTGTTTGTTTGTTTTTGAGATGGAGTCTCACTCTGTCACCCAGGCTGGAGGGCAATGGCATGATGTCGGCCCACTGCAACCTTCGCCTCCTGGGTTCAAGCGATTCTCCCACCTCATCCTCCTGAGTAGCTGAGATTACAGGCACCCACCATCATGCCTGGCTAATTTTTGTATTTTAGTAGAGACAGGGTTTCACCATGTTGGCCAGGCTGGTCTTGAACTCCTGACTTCAGGTAATCCTCCCACCTCAGACTCTCGAAGTGCTGGAATTACAAGTGTGAGCCACCACACCCAGCCTCAGGTAGTTCTTTATAGTAGTGTGAGAACGGACTAATACAATGCCCTCTTCTCCTTCAGAGTAAACACTAGACATGATCGGATTTCTTAAATAGAGGGAGAAAGTTTATGTGTTTTATGATGTTGGGCGCAACCTAAGAGATTCTTGACTCTGAACCTTTTAGATATCAGTTTATGTTGCAACAAAAAGTGTTGGCTTTTTTTTCTCACTTGATAACTTTATTAGAAACAAATGAAAGTAGTTTTCATATTAAGCTTTTATTTTCTTTCCAGCACTGGGGGCTAGAAAGTGTGTTGTCACTACAAACGTCCCAATTTATTTAATGGTATACAGAGGTATGCACAAGGTCATGTAATATCAATATATCCCAAATTAACCAAAGTGTGTTTATTGATATATGTAATGAAGGCCTTTGCTATTTGATCCATAGAACATAGGATGTTCTTAGTGTATCTCAAAACTTTTATGTGTTTACATATTATTTCTGTAGATTGTTTTCAGAAGCAAGTTTTATTTCCATGGTATGAGTGAGCACAATGGCTTATGTGTAAATTAGAAATAATTGTTAATTTTTAATATGTACTTCATGGTAAAATTTCTTAGACATACACAAATGAGTAAAAACCAAATTTAGTGAATTGATATTACCTAGTTTCTAAAGTTTTGTTCATTTTCATTTGTAAGAAGTCATTTGCTTAAGGCCCAATTAATATAAATGAAATTATCATAGTTTGTGTTTAAGAAATACCCAGAAATTGTGCTGTTCTATTTATTTTATAAGAGGGTAACCAGATTTTACTCTGGAACCTCCTGGAGCTCTTTAATGCTCTTTGACTTAATGAAATTTATCTTTTATTACTAAAAACACATTATTCTTATATTTTAATGAGAATAATCATTTACGTACTTCACATAATGGGTAAAGACATTTTGTTTCATGAATCTATATTTTTTCTTACTATAATGAGAACGTTATAGATTATGCATTTGTATT